ACATAAAGATGTAAAATGAGAAAAGAAAGCGGCTGTGAAAGGTTCATTCGACAGCTTTATTATTCGAAGACCTAAACCATCAACTTCAGCGACACCATCAAATTTGGCATCATAAGTAACTTCAGCAAAAGCTTCAGGTTCAGTATCAGTTTCAGCAACAGCTATGACATCTTTATGGATTGTTTCAGCTTAAGCCAGAGTTGAACCTGATGACTTTGTCATCTGAGTAAAAACTTGCACAACATTCATTGCCTGTCCTATGTTTTAGACTTTGCCACCATTGGTAAGTAGTATTTTTGTTTTACATAATTAAGTATTACTTAAAACATATGTGAACAGTAATAAGTGTTGCTTTCATATTCTTATGTAGAGAAATAACGATGTTTTCACATGTACGCACTTACATACGTTGGCGTTCCCAATCCATTTCGTTTTTTCTTTACCATTAGTGGTTAGCTACTTCTATTGTTCTATTTATTAACATTAAATAACATTACTTAAAACATATATATTAATTTTTCTTACATTATTTTTACCACAGCTACAACCAGGGTCTTATTTTCTTCTGTTTCTTATGTACAGAACCATCGTCACTGGTGTAAACACTCGCAAAAACAATATATAAACATTAATTCAATCAAATACATATTCAGTAATAAACAAAAATTAATCTTTTGTACATACAGTATTCTTAATAAGATAAATGATGGTATGTCTCCTTGAGTGCTCACATATACATTGCCGTTCCACCATCACTCTTCTTTTTTAACATCAGTGATTACTTTTACTGTACGTTAAACAAAAACCAGGGTACGATTTTCTTCAGTTTCAGATGGATAACTGACATTATGCGTGTAAACACCGACAACAACAATGGCGTCCCATCTCTTGTGTGACATTATTATTGATTGTATAAGGTGCATTCATAAACATTATTTAATGAATATAGTTTGCATTTTTCATTAATTGTATAGTAAAGCCTCAAATAACGACGTTAATGTGTCCTCCAATATTGCAGTGTAAGGTGAATCATTGTATCGCGAATCATTAATTACCACTAAAATAAAGCAATAATAATGAGATGTGTTCCCATGTGTGACCTTTTCATATCTTGTGTGTGGCTTTTTACCCTCTTTTCCCCAAAAAACAATACAATTAATGAAAATTGCGAACTATATTCTTTAAATAATGTTTCTGAATGCACCTTATACAATATAAATGAATAATAATATGGTCACACAAGAGAAGATGGGACGCCATGTTTATGTTTACAACTGGGAGTCCGGGACGACAGTTCTACACGAGAAAATGAAGAAAATAAGACCCAGGTTGTAGCTGTAGTAAAATTAATATACCGTACGTATATGTTTTAAGTAACGTTATTTAATGTTAATAAATGGAACAATAGAAGTAGCTAACCACTAATGGCAAAAAAAAAAGAGATGGATTAGGAATGCCAACATATACAAAATAAGACCCTGTTTGTAGCTGCAGTAAAATTAATGTAAAAAATTAATATACTGTATATGTTTTAAGTAATGTTATTTAATGTTAATAAATGGAACAATAGAAGTAGCTAACCAAAAATGGCAAATAAAAAAAAAGATGGATTAGGAACGCCAACTTATACGTGCGCATTTAAGGATACCGCGTCATTTATCTTTTTAAGAATATGTGCAAAAGATTCATTATTGTTTATTACTGAATATGTACAGTATTGATTGAATTAATCTTAATATTGAAATGAACAATACAATTCATTAATAATACGTAAAATATTAAAACACACAAGAGGATAAGAGACGGCATTGTTGTCAGTGTTTACACCCATAATGTCAGTTATCCACCTGAAACTGAAGAAAATAAGACCCTGGTTGTTGTTGTAGTAAAATTAATGTAACAAATATGTATGTTTTAATTAATGTTATTTAATGTACAGTAGAAGTAACCACTGATATTAAAGAAAAAGTGAGACTGATAGTGGAACACCAATGTATACGTGCATACTCAAGGAAACATGGTCATTTATCTTAAGAATATTTACAAATGATTCATTATTGTTTATTACTGAATATGTATTTGATTGAACTAATGTTTACATATGTGAAATGATCAATGCAATTCATTAATAATACGTAGAATATTAAAACACACACGAGGAGACAAGACGGCATTGTTTTCGTGAGTGACGATGGTTCTACATAAGAAAATGAAAAAAGTAAGACCCTGGTTGTAGCTGTAGTGAACTTAATTTTAAAAAATTTAATACCTGTATGTATGCTTTAAGTAATGTTATTTAATGTTAATAAATGGAACACTAGAAGTAGCTAACCACTAATGGTAAAGAACTAAAGCGAGAGGATTGGGAACGCCAACATATGAACAATAAGTGCGTACATGTGAAAACATATCATCATATCTCTACATATGAATATGAGAGCAACACTTATTTACTGTTCATACCGGTATATGTTTTAAATAATATTTACGAATGTAAAACAAAAATTCTACTCACCAATGGTGGTAAAGTCTAAAACATAAAGACAGCCAATGAATATTGTGCGAGTTTTTACTCAGATGACAAAGTCAACAGGTTCAACTCTGGCTGAAGCTGTAGCTTTCCATAAAGCTGCTGCTGAAACTGTTACTGAACCTGAAATTGATGTTGAAACTGTTATGATGCTGAATTTGATGGTTTAGGCCTTTGAATAATAAAGCTGTCAAAAGAACCTTGCACAGCTGCTTTATTTTCTCATTATACATCTTTATGTAGAGGTCATTTGCATTTATTTAAATTTTAATGCTTTGTTATGTTAATGGATCCACTTCAGAAAATATGTTCATTGCTTTCTCCATATAATATCCAGACCTCTCACCTTTTTCATATCATTTTAACACATCTAGTTTCTCGGCTAAGCTTATACACTTTCCATTAGCCTTTAAAACAACACTACCATCACTTGCTCATGTTAAATTGGGATGCAAAAATGGTGTAAGAAACCTGAGAAGGTTTTTCTCCTGTTCCTGTTCCAGATGAGTGAAAACAAATGGCCCGCCAAACTCCGACTGTTGTTTACCACTCATTAGCATGGCAGCTTCTTTGCGCAAGGCGCTCTTAATTTTTTTTATAATACATATCAGGATTTAGTTATTATTTATTTGAAAATGTAATTTCATTTTTTTTTATTATATTTTGGTCGTAAATACAAATGAAATAAGGACGTAATTTGAATTGGGTCCTAAATTAACTAGGGTTTTAAATATGAAAAGTTATTGGTCGAACCGTTGTTATCGAAAGCTTTACTGTATTGTTTTGGGGGAAAAGGGGGTAAAAACCACACAAAAGTTATGAAGAGGTCACTAGGGGGCGCATCTCATTATTATTGCTTTATTTTAATAATGGTAATTAATGATTCATGATACGATGATTCACCTTACACAACAATATTGGAGGACACATTACCGTCGTCATTCGGGGCTTTACTGTACTTAAGTCCTCAAACACTAATACGGGTACAAACCCTCAAATCTAGGTTTTTGAAACCAGATACAATACTGTAACACCCCCCCCCACCCACCCAGGAAAGTCCAATCCATCTGTTATCCCAGGGCCAAGGCCTACAATTTGGCTTCCACACACGCATATAAACTTAGTTGAACGTTGGTTTTACTTCCAATACAAAATAAAATGTCGTGAAATAACCCAAATAAAAAGTACATTACTAAATTCAGTCTTTTCAGAAGTTAAGAGTTCCCTAAAAATGAGTTAAATAAACTTGATTACTTCCCAGCAGCTTCTGGCCAATCATGAGCCTTTGCAAGAAGTAGAGAGATTATAAATACCTTGATTTTCTTTAATTATGTATTTGTATTAATAAAATAGTTGACATAGCTTTATCAGATAATATTGGTCAAATTAAACCAAAGATGCGAGGTAATGGTTGCCAGATACTGCTTATCACATGGGAACCTTTGATATGATGGTGCAGTGCTGATTGATGGTCCTGCCACAAGTTTTAAGGCTTGATGGTTTCCTTTCAATAACTACTACACCCTACTACTATTACTTTGCTGTCACTCGGAATCGATTATGATGACCTTTCAGCAACACAGGCATTCGTTTAACCTACTATCTTGAAAAGAATAGTTATATTCGTTTAACCTACGATCTTGAAAAGAACAGTTATGTGGTAGCAAATGTTTTTTGAAATGGTAAAACAGTACAGGTAGCTACATAATTCTACATTTTCAAAACTGTCTATTGTATTTAATGTTATTCTTTTTATCTAAAGAAAACATATACTATACTTTCTTTATATTGTTATTCAAGATGTAAAACACTGAATTGAGTTTGTGTGAGTAGCTGCAAACCTGATGTAGCCTTCTGCTGAGCCTCGAGTAACAGATGGATGACCCCAGGGAGGAAATTTAAACTGACACCAAGAAATGTGAAAATTCTCAAAACTGGTTTGGTCTTGGTCCCAAGCATCCAGGATTGAAGGGCCTACTGGTATACTATACCTGTATTCTAATTCTATATTACGACAAATTTTTATAAATAAGGATGCACATTTTTTGTAAGAAATTTATGGTTGATATTTATGTGATTAAAAATATCAATTCAAAGAGAATTATTGCTTTCAATTTTCAATTGATTTTCAAAAGAAGACAATAAAAAATCAAATGAAGTTTTCAACAATCAAGAAGCTACAGTAATTAGGTCTGGCATGTGATCAAAGAGACCATAGGAAAAAGTCCTAAACAAAACCTTAACATGGTTAATGTAACTCATAAGCAAGTGGTACTTTCAAAACTACCAAGTCAACTACAATTAGAACTTTTGATCTAGACAGGATAATGTTAAAATGAAAATAAGGGATGAATAATACACTACTCCATAACCATGAATTCTAGAAGGATAAAAATTACAACAAAAATAATGATGCGACATAACGCTAATGGAGCAGTTACTTCCACATGCTAGTACACAAATTGTTTACCTTGAGTTATACGGGGGCTGACTCATGTGGCCGTAATAGTATCCATAAGGATCATAGGCTGCACGTGGACTGTTTGCAAATAATGTACATACCAGTGAGGACACGAAATAGAACACCAGTACGAAACATTAATTATGTGGGAATAATTATGTCTTTATTCATTAAATTAGTATCAATTAATTACTGCATTTACAATATTTGGTAATTTCTCTTATGAGTCTTAGTAACTACGGAATGAAATCTTAAAACTTTTTAAGTATGAAATCCCATTCAATAGCATAGAGCCAAGAAAGTGTCCTGTGAGAAACCAACACACTGAACACCCCATGACAAAGCACACCAGTTGAAGAGTACTGTACAACTATTCAGCTGCAGAATCCACTTTTTATGTGAACAATACTAGTGGTTAAGGAGCTCTTCACCCCCCTGTCACACCAAGAGCCTATGAAGGTATAGTGTAGTGGTTGGTAGGGATATACAGTATATAGTACAGTATTCAAGCATTTTTGTGTACAATATAATTTTTTAAATTAATTTGTGGTAAATTTAATTAAAAATACACTTTCACTGGCATCACAAGCCAAGTAAGTAATGGAGATATACATTTGAAAGATACTATCACTAGGAATTTTTTAAAGACAATAAATAAACTATAATCGGTAGCCGGCGGATGGACACATGAAGAGTCACTCTACAGTTCTTTATTACAGTAATTAATCTATAGTATTTATATTCGGACATTTTAAGCGATGATACATTTTCTGTGTTGGGTTGTGATAATATTTGTACTTGGAGAGAAGCGAAAAATAGCATGTGAAATTTACTAGTAACATAAAGGGAACACGAACATAATAAAAAAGTATGGCAACATAAGTACCATTTTCAGTCATTTAGGTGTCTGGGTGACATCAGAACCTTAACGTCATCAGCAGAGGCAAAAAATGCCAGATATTTTCAGAAAGTCATTTAAGCATCAAATTTCCCAAAGCTATGACGACAAGTACTGATATCAATAAGAAGTTAACATTAACCCGCTTCACGCAAAATATGTCAATGTAACTACTATTGCAGTAGCACTACCATCAAATAAACTGGATTTCACTGCCTGTAATTAATACTTGAAATTTGGCAACACGCCTGAGATTGAGCTGTGAGCATGAAAACGAAGATGTTGGCATCCCTCAGTAGAAATTTCCATTGAAATCTGATAATCACCTCAAATTATAAATATCTATTGCTATATAATTGAGAAAAATCTGGCATCAATTCAAAATCCCAATTATTAATGACTCCTGATGGTGGAGAGGTACAAGAGTAGTCATGGTACCACTGTACCAAAAAAAATACATAAATCTTCTGGCTTAAAGAAAATAAAATCTAAATGTAATTGGACTTAAAATGAACTTACAGAGTTAAAAAGATTTAAAATTGGCCATACACAGTATTACCCCGCTTTACGCGGTTTCACTTTCCGCGATTTCGCATTTACGCGGTACCTCGCCAGAACCGGACTTTCACTTTACGAGGTGCATCTACTCATATACGCGGGAAGCGGCGCGGGCAGGATGCGCACAAGGTCGCCCAGTCATCAAAACACCACCCACCACAGCCGGCCCAAGTCAGTAATAGTGAGAATATGAACTTATATGGACTTTGAGGGGTTTGACAAAGAGGCCCTGCAAGCCTATGCGGTGGATAGTGATACAATTGATACAGGTGAGGGCCAATAATCTGCCCTCTGCCTCGGAACCAACCCCCCATCCCTGTGTGCCCAGCCATCTTTTCTACTAATGTAAGTGTTAAAAAAACTATTATTATTGATATTTCTCTTAATTATTAATTGTGTGTGCATACCATCATAAAATTAAGATGTAATTTTTACTACAACGTAGGTATTGTGTCTGAAAAAGTGGAGTTTGGGGGTCGGGCCAGTCTCTGTTGGAATTAATCCCATATGTTCTGTTGTTCACTTTACGCGGTACCCTGTGGGTTCAATTGACCGCGTAAATCGGGGTACTGCTGTATTTAAAAAATTTATATATATATTTATTTTTTTACTAATTTATTGTTTGTTTTTTTATTACATGTATTAATGATATTCTTTATTTCAGGGGTTTAGATGCATATTTATGCACTTTTTTACAATTTTATATTATATTTTTCAGTGTTAAGTGGTTGTATTTGGGGGCCTGGAACGGATTAATCCTATAACGAACGAATGCTATAACGAACAAAGTTCTAGAACCAATTAGATTCGTTATAGCATACCCCACAGTATGTGTGTGTGTGTATATATATATATATATATATATATATATATATATATATATATATATATATATATATATATATATATATATATATATATATATATATATATATATATATATATATATATATATATATATATATATATATATATATATATATATATATATATATATATATATATATATATATATATATATATATATATATATATATATATATATATATATATATATATATATATATATATATATATATATATATATATATATATATATATTATATATATATATATACATACATATAGTCCGATCTGGACTATAACCTTAGAATTTAACCCATAAATTTATTGGGACAAATGGTGTAAGTGAGGTGCCTAATCCATTGGATAAGTTATAAAATGTTTTTAACATTAAAAATGTATTTTGCTGTTAAACTACAGTACTGTACCCCATGTATCCTGCCATTGAACTATTGTACCCCATGTATCCTGCCATTGAACTACTGTACCCCATGTATCCTGCCATTGAACTATTGTACCCCATGTATCCTGCCATTGAACTACTGTACCCCATGTATCCTGCCATTGAACTACTGTACCCCATGTATCCTGCCGTTGAACTACTGTACCCCATGTATCCTGCCATTGAACTATTGTACCCCATGTATCCTGCCATTGAACTACTGTACCCCATGTATCCTGCCATTGAACTATTGTACCCCATGTATCCTGCCGTTGAACTACTGTACCCCATGTATCCTGCCATTGAACTATTGTACCCCATGTATCCTGCCGTTGAACTACTGTACCCCATGTATCCTGCCATTGAACTATTGTACCCCATGTATCCTGCCATTGAACTATTGTACCCCATGTATCCTGCCGTTGAACTTGCACCCTACATCCTGCCATTGATGTATCCTGTCATTGAACCACTGTACCCATGTGTATCCTGCCATGTACCCCATGTATGTTGAACCACTGTACCCCCCTTGCCGTTGAACCACTGTACCCCATGTATCCTGCTGAACCACTGTACCCCCATGTATCCTGTCGTTGAACCACTGTACCCATCCTGCCGTTGAACCACTGTACCCCCATGTATCCTGTCGTTGAACCACTGTACCCCCATGTATCCTGTCGTTGAACCACTGTACCCCCATGTATCCTGCCGTTGAACCACTGTACCCCCATGTATCCTGCTGTTGAATACTGTAATTGGTGAGCTATGTAATGGGGCAATCAGGGTGCTGGAATTTTAGTGGTCACTCCCCCCCCCAGGACCATAAAATGATCATGTAGGTACATCTTTAAAAAAATAAATAAATAAAACAATACCGGTAAGCTAGATTTGTTGTTACATTAAATGCACACTCAACAACAATACACACTCTTACTAATTTCTAATGCACACAGCTTGGCAAAATCCCAACCAGAACACTCCTTTACTAACCTGCTGACTGACTTCTTCAGTTCATCATTTACAGAGGAACGACCTGAGTGGATGCTGGTGCGGTCATCATAAAAGGACTCAGATGGGTAAGCCTGGCCATACTGCTTCATCCATTGTCTATAATACTCTTTATAGTATGGATGATCTCGATAATAATGATAATAATATTGATATTGGTCATACATCTCTCTTGAACCATATGCCTCTTGATAACCGCCTGAAACAAAATTTTTAAATTTTTAAGCACAGTCTATAGTATATACCAACTCTATATTCAAAGAGTACACGGATATTAACAATCAGTGTGTGAAGCAGAAGAAAAAAAACTAAGTTGATAATAAGAGAACCCAGTGACCTTGTACAGTTCAGTTGTATTATGACCATAGCAGAAACATGACACAATCTGGGAGGTGGTTCTTAAATGTGTTCAAGACATTGATGCTGCCTATAATGGACACCAAATGACCTGCAACTGAAATTTTATGATAAAATAACTTATTTTTGTATTTTTTTAGACAACCCTGAAAATTTAAAATCTCTTAAAAAAAATTTAATCAACTTATGTCTTCAGGTACTGTACTGCACAGTAGATCCTCAGTATTCACAGGGGTTAGGTCCTCCCCCCAGAAGTGCCAAAATCCACAAACAGTATTAGTGTCCATATTGTTGTATGTCTGAGATACTTGAGTCACCCAAAAACACACCCATACTGTATTTCAAAATATTTTTTCTTGAAATATACATACAATACAATTTAGTGTAAAACATTAATCAAATAATGACATACACTTACAATATACAATACATACTATGGCAGGGGTGTCAAACATGCGGCCCGACACACTCTTGCATGCAGCCCGCGGCCCATTTGCTGCTCCAGCCTTACCATGAGGAGCTAAAACTAAATAGTGAGTGTATCCCTCAGCTGAATAAAATAATTGAGCTCCAGTGTGATTCTGTGTTGAGGAACAAGTTTTCGAGTGTTGATGTTGGCACATTTTATCAATATTTTGGATCAAATTATCCCAGGATTAAATGTTTTGCCTCAAAGATTATGTCAATGTTCGGAAGTACATATGTCTGTGAACAACTCTTTTCTGTGATGAACTTGAACAAGTCTCGACTTCGGTCTCAACTTACTGATGGGCACCTTAATTCATTACTGAAAGTTGCTACAGCTCAGTCGTTAGTGCCGAACTTTGATGCACTGGTCCATACCAAGAGGTGCCAATTATCAGGAAGCAGCAAACAATAAGATTGATCAAGGTAAGTAAACACTTGATTTGATTAGAGGTGATTACGAAGTGCTCATAATTATGTTACTTGGCCCGCATACTGTGTACTCATATTAAATCTGGCCTGCCTTGGCAAATGAGTTTGACACCCCTGTACTATGGTACAGTATATACAGTGGGCATATTGAACCAGTTTGTACATTATGTTTGAGATACTCATAACACAACTGTACTGTACAGTACTGTATATGATATTTCAGTAGGGTTTCTTTTAATACACATACAATGGTGAAAAACATTAATTAAACAATGAAATCATACAATATACTTGTACTATACAGTATCAAATAAGATAAATGAAGTGGAGGAAATTGTTGTTGCTGCCAGTTTTCATGTGTACAGAATGGAAGAGTTATTCTTTTAACTCTCATAAACAACCCATAATGGCAGTGGATCCATCAAGGCCTGTCTCCATCACAAAAATGTCGGAAAAACGAAAGTAGGCAAGATGAAATTCCTCCAAACTTTTATTGAGATTTGAAAGGTAAGACAAGTTTTCTTCTACAGTTTTATTAAATGGCCCATAGTAATGCACACTTGTTAACTAGTACTGTACCTATCCTAGTTTTCTTCTAAAGACCCCAATAATTTTAATTGCAATCTTGTGGGATAATAATTTCCCCACCAGATAATTATTTACAATAACTAATAAGAAGTTTATGAATATTCCCTAATTACTGTAGTCTGTTAAAAGTACAGTATTATCTACTCAAATTGACCAATTTGAACAATACTGCAAAGTCCATTGTGTTGTGACATGATGACAAGTATAATACTGTACAGTGATGTACAACTTACTGCCAGTGCCCCTAGTGGTCCTGCCTTTGGAGGTTGGAAGCAGCCTACTAGAAGCCACTGAGGTATGAGAGGCTGCAGAATCTGCTCGTGGCCTCCTGGGCAATGACTTCGTGGAGTGACTCACAGTCGTGGACCTCGAGACCCGAGAGTGGTCAGAATCATAGCCCGTCTCCTCTCCGACGGGCTCGCGGCGACGGGGCTCGCGATTATAACCTCGTCCCAGGTCTCGGTCTCTCTCTTTCTTCATAAACTGCGCGTGTGCAAATTTTCGTTCAGCGTCTCTGTCCTGTCTAACTTCACTTTCCTGGTCTCCGTCTCTAACATGTTCCTGGCCCCTATCACGTCTATGGTAATGTTCACGGTAAACATCTCGCTGCCTTCCCACAACAGCACTATCTTCCCTTAAACTATAACGTCCCTTATCACCGTGGCTCTGAAATTTTCCTCTATCTCTACTAGTATCTATATCTTGGTCCCTGTCATCATGGCGATACCTCTCTTGTTCTCGTTGCCGCTCTCTGCCGAGATCACCATCACTTGATCTCTCCTTCCAGTCACCCCTGACATTCCATCGATCATCTCTTGGTTCTCGTCTATCAATCCTGGGTTCCTGCCGGTCAGGAGGGGATCTATGAAATATTCTATCAGATCTATTTCTAGAATCGCCATAGCTACTCCAGCGGTCACAAGGAACAGGTGGCTTTTGATCCAGTGGGGAAGTACCACAAGTTCTTTTCTTTAAATGTTGTTGGTGGTAGTCGTGCCCATGGTAGGAAGAGCTTGGGATTCTGTTAGGGTCTGTCTCTGCTCTAACCCTTAACACATCAGTATTTGGTATACCAAGCGACTGTGGGGCCCTATCATCAGAATATCCATTCCAGGATTCCATGTTGTCAAGTCCCTCATGCTTTCTGTGGCTACTATTGGTGGCCAGCTGGTGGTCTTGTGTGTCGACTGCACGACGGTGAGGCAGTGTTGTGGTGATTGTGTCTCCAGTCAGCTGGACGGATTGCGTCATCGACACGGGTGGGGGGTGGAGGGGCTGAATGGTCCCTTGCATTTCCCCGTTTTCTGATAACTGAACCATATTGTCACTCTCATTTAACTTATATCTTCGCAAAATCAGTAAATGGTATGTCAACACGAAATCGGTTACAGATATGTTTTGAGGGAAATTCAATACAATATCTTCACATTCTAATATGAATAAATAAACATTTATATTAAAAAACTATATTCCACAAAATATGAATTCAAACAATACTGTACAGTATATGATTCCAATTCTGTCAACGCAAAACGATTGTATCTGGAACACAAATGAGCACGTCTACTCCACTCCACCGTCAAGACAACACTGACAGGACACGTGGCAGTGACGTCACAGTTAGCTGAACACCAACAACAAAAACATTGCGCCTGCGTTCTAGCTGTTACGATATTTAATTCTATTACTGTTTAAAAAATAAGGATTTTTCTATATTTAACGGTGTTAAATATAAAATTATAGCGTAAATACACACTACGTTTACCCATAAATGGTATTGGCTAGAATGCATATGATATCTTTTCCAAACAAAATATTTTATACTTTATCCTCTTCGCCACTGGTCGGCTTGTTAACCATACAGAAATTAACGATTAACTTCATAGAAACACTCAACAGCGTAACAGTTGGGGTACAAAGAACTACAGAAGCCATATGTAACAGCAGGCTAGTTACGAGAATGTAAAGCGTTGTGGTACGTGGCAACACAACCTTCCTCCGGCAGGCTAACTGGTCCAAGGTAGGCATCTACCTCCCTTGGACTGGTCAGACTCAGTCACCGGTCTGCTGGAGTCACTTATAAGAACATGAGAAAATAAGGAGTCTGTAATAGGTCAGTTGGCCTATGCATGGCAGCTCCTGTCGAGAGTTACTACCACTCTCAATCATCCGAGAATCTATCTAGCCTCCTTTTCAAACTTTCCAGCGTTCTAGCACTTATTACCAAGTTGCTAAGCTTGTTTTCCACTCGTCTACCACCCTATTTTTGAACCTGCTCCTTCCTATCTCCCTCCTAAACTTAAACTTACCCAACTTAAATGCACTAAGGACTTAAAGCTGTCAAAGGTCAAACACAACGACGATATCATCATGACAATTATTTGTGACAGACAACACCGTTTCTTCCACACATACAAAACTATGAAATTTAGTCAAATTCCTATCACATTCTACTCTACAGATCTTTCATCGAGTTTCCTGATGAGCTACACTCAATACTGTCACGATTTGTTTTCATGTCATAACGGTAACGAGTAACTCGCCATAATGTCAAGGGTTTGAGCCTCGGCCCTGATATACTGCTGTATGTGTGAGATGGGAATTATCCATTGACCCTAATAAACATCACAGGTTTCCTGGTCTCCGGTTTTGCGAAAAAAACATGGTTTTCGGCAGACGCAACCTTACCCTCCATAAACTGACCGTGTTAGTAACATCTAGCCCACATTATCTGCTCTTAAAATTAACAAAAACTATATCAAATGTTTATTATACTGCCAACAATTATTACAATATATCAATTTTGTATTTGAATGAGTGCTTTGTATTAATGAAAAAAATTAATTTCTTTTACACATCTTTTAAGTAATATTCTATCAAATTATCAAAAAATTTGTGTCACGTCTTTTGATCAAAGGTAAAGCAAAAACAGTACAATTACTAAACTTATAACATTGTACTACGACATACTAATAATATGGGAAGATAATATAGTGGAAAAAAAATCAGTCTAGCTTTAAAAGTTGGGTAAGCTATGCAGCCAGCGTTGCCAACTTTTAAACAAACGTCAGGAAAATAATATTTTATCCTATATCTATATTTAGGCATCATAATATATAACTTTTACATTTATCCTCTTCACCACTGATTGGCTTGTTAGTCGCTTGGGCGATCGATCACGTCTCTGTTACGCACTGTTGGCAAGTACTGGGCATGTACCGGCTCCTGAATATTCCTGAACCTGCTCCAGTGTTGGTCAAGTCTGATCTTGAAAGAGCTCACACTCGGTGCCATCACAGCACTTCCTGGTAGATTGTTCCAAGAGTTCACAACTCTCACTCCCAAAAAGCTTGCCCT